TTTTATTTTCACAAAAAATATAAGATTTACTGTTATGCAGACTACTGCATTAGTGTAAAAAATGGTATAAAATATTATTGGTGCACTTGTGAAAGAATATTAGACTCACCAGTTGACGTGTATTGCACGCTTGGCACGATTTGTTTACTTTTGAAGTTTGGTAAAAATCGAACATTTCTGCTACTTTGAGCTCAATTTCGAGGCACCTTTCATTGTAAAACCAGTCAAAATCATCTCAATTCTGTAATAGTCTTCCATTCTATAAAATGAGACCAAGAAAACTAGAATACAACAATAAATACCATACGAAAATACACTGCAAAGTCGCTGATTTATTAAAAAAAAAAATGGTCAAAGTTTTTTTTTTCTCATTATGCACTGTGTGCTGCAGGATTTTTTTAGACTGTGCACATTGACCACATAGACCCATTCTTTCATATGAAGGCCTACCAGCTTTCTCCCACTAGATTTGAGGCCGCTAGAATTTATGAGTACTAGTACGTCAAAACCCCCTACGCGTAAGACGTACTAGTACGACCAAAACCCTCAAAGGGTTAACTCACTCCAAAATTTTTTCTTATTTTCATTAAAATTTCTTGACAGTGCCTCTCCCACTCTTTCATCTGCTCTCCTTTTGCACTCTCTCACCACTCTCTTCACCTTTCTTTTACTCTCCATATACTCTGCTCTTCTTAAAACACTTCTGCTTTGTAAAAACCTCTCGTAAGCTACCTTTTTCTCTTTTATCACACCCTTTACTTCATCATTCCACCAATCACCCCTCTTTCCTCCTGCCCCCACCCTCCTATAACCACAAACTTCTGCCCCACATTCTAATACTGCATTTTTAAAACTATTCCAACCCTCTTCAAAACCCCCCCACTACTCATCTTTGCACTAGCCCACCTTTCTGCCAATAGTCGCTTATATCTCGCCCGAACTTCCTCCTCCCTTAGTTTATACACTTTCACCTCCCTCTTACTTGTTGTTGCCACCTTCCTCTTTTCCCATCTACCATTTTTCTCTAACTGTAGCTACAACTAAATAATGATCTGATATATCAGTTGCCCCTCTATAAACATGTACATCCTGGAGCCTACCCATCAACCTTTTATCCACCAATACATAATCTAACAAATTACTTTTCATTACGTGCTACATCATACCTTGTAAAATTTATTTATCCTCTTTTTCAAAAATATGTATTACTTATTACCAATTTCTTTCTACACGTAGCTCAATTAAAGGCTCCCCATTTACATTTACCCCTGGCAACCTCAAATTTACCTACTACTCCCCTCCATAACATTTTTAACCCACTTTAGCATTGAAATCCCCAACCACCATTACTCTCACACTTGATTCAAAATTCCCCACGCATTCACTCAACATTTCCCGAATCTCTCTCTCTCCTCTATACTTCTCTCTTCTCCAGGTGCATACACGCTTACTATAACCCACTTTTCACATCCAATCTTTATTTTACTCCACATAATCCTTGAACTTATGCATTTGTAGTCCCTCTTTTCCTGCCATAGCTTATCCTTCAACACTATTGTTACTCCTTCTTTAGCTCTAACTCTATTTGAAACCCCTGACCTAATCCCATTTATTCCTCTCCATTGAAACTCTCCCACCCCCTTCAGCTTTGTTTTTACTTAAAGCCAGGACATCCAGTTTCTTCTCATTCATAACATCCACAACCATCTCTTTCTTATCATTTGCACAACATCCACGCACATTCAGACTTCCCACTTTGACAATTTTTCTTCTTCTTATTCTTTTTAGTAATCTTTACAGGAAAGGGTTACTAGCCCATTGTTTCCGGCATTTTAGTTGACTTTTACAACACCATGGCTTACGGAGGAAAGATTCTTATTCCACTTTCCCATGGATATAAAAGGAAAAGTAATAAGACCAAGAACTTTAAGATAAAATCAAAGAAAACTCAGATGAGTGTGTATAAATAAACGTGTACATGTATGTGTAGTGTGACTAAGTGTAAGTAGAAGTACAAGACTACGCTGTAATTCTTGCATATTTATGAGACAGAGAAAAGACACCAGCAATCCTAACACCATGTAAAACAATTACAGCTTTCATTTTACACTCACTTGGCAGGAACGGTAGTACCTCCCTGGTGGTTGCTGTCTACCAACCTACTACATAAATATATTAATTATATTAATAATATATATATATATTTTAATATATATATAATATATATATATATATATATATATATATATATTATATATATATATATATATATATATATATATATATAATATATATATATATATATATATATATATATATATATATATATATATATTATAATATATATATATTATATATATATATATATATATATATATATATATATATATATATATATATATATATATAATATATATATATATATATATATATATATATATATATATATATATATATATATATATATAGTATATATATATATATATATATATATATATAGTTATATATATATATATATATATAATATATATATATATATATATATATATATATATATATATATATATATATATAATATATATATATATATATATATATATATATATATATATATATATATAATATATATATATATATATAACTATATATATATAACTATATATATATAAATATATATATATATATATATATATATATATATATATATATATATATATATATATATATATATATATATATATATATATATATATATATAAAATCTTCTAGTCTCCCAGATGGCCAATAAAACCATGAAAATAAAACCATGAAATACAAGGTCACAGGTTAACTATTCCCATCATGGACTGAGTGGGGTAGGATTTTTATACTATGCACACCCATTGCATAAACTCATTCTCTTATGTCTAGGCCAAAATTTACTAGTCACAGTATATCTGATGGTATAAACACTGGCAGAAGAGGATCCTATTAATAGAACACTTCACACAAGGCTGGTGAAACAGTATATTAAAAGGATCCTCTGCTAATAACATCTTTGTCCCCACTTATTGTTTTTGCCCTCATCTATGTACCATCTTTGAGGGTGCTGTGATTAAGATGTACAGCAAACCTTCGATATAACAGACAAGTAGGCATGAAGAGGGGAGGGGGTTGTGCAAATGTCTGTTAAATCAGAATAACATTAAAAAATGGCAACAACAGGCACCTGAATACCCTATTATACACCTAATATAGTACTGCATCCTCAATTGACCATTATATTACAATAACCATTACAAATAAAAGTTAAAAATACACTGTACCTAATGAATTTTGCCCATTATCTTAAAAGTCCATTATATCAGGGTTTGTTATATCAAAGGTTTACTTACATATATGTGCACACCGCCTTGCCTCAATAAAGGCACATCTACATGGGAGACAGTGAAAAGGTTAAGGCATTTTTTTTCACCCCAAAAAAATAGCATTTTAAGACTTTTTTTTATCAAACTACAAATACAGTGGAACCTTGCCTTATGAATTTAATCAATTCCGTGACCTCGTTCATATCCCGATTTGTTCGTATACTGAGTCAATTTTCCTCATTTAAATTAACTGAAATGGCATTAATCCATTCCAGCAGAATTCCTGCTCTTAGGAGGCACGACAAAATACTTCAATATGATGCTAAAATCAACTCTACAGCTTATTTTTATATCACAATTCATCTAATTTCACCATCACTCAAGGACTGCACAACAGGTGCATCACTGTCAGTGCTCAGCATTTCTTCGATGTCAGCTTCCTGTAACTCCATTAGCACACAGTCAAGACGAGTAAATAGAATTGTCAACGCTTATTGCTTGGGTACGTTTATTCTGTAAGTGGGCTGGATCTGTGAAGGACCTGCTTAGTATGGGCCAACAGGCCTACTGCAGCGTTCCTCCTTTCTAATGTTATTATGTACCCACGACACCAATCATACCCATCCCCTCCCACTCATATTTGTCCAATCTATTTTTAAAGCTACCCAAGGTTCTATTGAAGCTAAAACCTTGGGTAGTTTCAATTTTAGGTTGGATAAATACATGAGTGAGAGGGGTTGGATTTGAATGGGAGTTGCGCATGAGTAAATAGGATTATTAAAGCTTATTGCTTGGGTAGCGTTTATTCTGTTAGAGGGCTGGATTTATGGAGGACCTGCCAAGTATGGGCCAACAGGCCTACTGCAGTGTTTCTCCGTTCTTATGTTATGTTGATGAGTAGAACAATCTGCCTAGTATGGTTACTGAGGTTAAAACCTTGGGTAGTTTCAAATTTGTGTTGGATAAATACACGAGTGAGAGGGACTGGATGTGAGTGGGTCCTGCACATGAGTAAACAGAATTATCAAAGCAAATATTCTGTTATTGGGATGGATTGTGAAGGACCTGTCTAGTATGGGCCAACAGGCCTGCTGCAGTGTATTATTATTAGTACGTACATATTATAATAATAATAATAATAATAATAATAATAATAATATTATTATTATTATTATTAATTTAGGGAAGTGGAGCACAGACCCAATTCCCTTGATCAAGATCCCCTCACCACGGAACCTCCCTTGAGGGGGAAGTTCGCGTCCTGAAATTTCGTTAGTATCCAGAAGCAAAAAATCGATCGAGTGGCTGTTCGAAACCTGAAAAAATCGCATGGTGGGGGCATTCATAAGCCAAGGTTCCACTGTATTGAGCTTGCCCTTACTACATGCAGTGCCTGGCATACAGTACATGTACTATTTGTTTTTCTTCCAGTGGGTTTAACACTGTTTTAAAAGGGTAGACATATGGCACCCACTGGTAGAAAATATTGATATTGACAAACATTTAATTTTTTTCAGGGTGACAATTTTCTCCATGCCAAAATGACATGAAACACATCCTTTAGAATTTTTCTGGTTACAAGAAAATTTTTTTAATATCATAGTGAAACAACAAATAAGCTTTGATAAAGTACAGACTAGATTTAAAACTTACCTGACGTGAGGCAGATGGAAAAGCCTTGCCCGAAAGAGGATCTGAGGCACCAAGTAGATCACTCAGAGGGTCAGGGCCATCAAGAACTGATGATAATGGGTCAATCATCATCTGTAATTAGATATTTCATATGTACTTTGCATAAATAATATTATCTTTTTTATTAACATACCAACCATCTTCCACTGAGGCAGGGTAATGTAAGAAGAAAAAGTTTTTTCCGACAAACCGGCCGTATCCCACCAAGGCAGGATGACCTAAAACGAAAAATTTGTTTTTCTTTTAAAATTTAGTAATTGATACAGGGGAGGGGGTTACTAGTTTCTTGCTCCAGGCATTTTATTTGCCTCTTACAACACATATGTCTTACAGAGGAAGGATTCTTTTCCACTTCCCTAAATTATATTCTATCATATTTATAAACACAGGTATCATTATATTAATAGTATGGTATACAATACCAGCAAATAGATGAGAAAAACACATGCATAGCTGGTAGGCATCTTTTCTGTATGTGTTGTCAATGAAGATACCAATCTAACCTGTTGTACATGCATCTTATTCATCTAAGCATAAAAGTAAAACAGACCCTCCTCAATGGCATTAAGTGAACCTACAGAGACAATGAATCAGAAAATAAAGTGAGTTTTATACAGCAGTTTGTTGAAGACAGCTTCAGTGCAAGGCTTCCATTCAAGTAATATTTACATACCCATAATATTTCAGAAGTTTACATTGTGCAAATTTGTTGCCTGTAAAGGTACAGTGCACTTATTTGCAAAGTTAAAAATTACAATAAATTTTACTGATTTTGTGGTATGAATCTGATTTGCTCTACCTCAGACTTCACCAATACAAATGTTGTACCAAATTGTTACACAAGATCGCTAAATGTCATAAATCATAAACCAAATTGTTAAAGTACAGAAGGGGTCTGCTTCACAGCACTTCACTTTCCAGCATTTCACTAATGCAGAAGTTTTCAATTATGATTACCCATTCTTCATTTATTCAGACTTCCTACAATAAATATATTCACCACTCACTATAAGCTAAGGACGAAAATATTTTAAGGTAAGTAATGTGTATGCTGGGAGCAAGGGACTAGTAACCTCTTCTCCTGTATATATTACTAAATTTAAAAAGAGAAGCTTTTTTTTTTTTTTTAAGTCACCCTGCGTAGATGGGATATGGCCAGTTTGTTGAAAAAAAAAAAGTAATGTGTGTATATATGCCTTTTTTGGCCTAACTTTAGTGTTCACTAAATATATGATAGTGTAAACATATCAGGATTTACATGCATTGGAAAGTGAAAAAAGGCTGTATTTCACTTTACAACGATTTTCACTTTACAGTAGTAGCCCGGAACCTAACTTGCTGTATAAGCAGAACCCTCCTGTACATAAAATGTCAAACACTGCAAACTATAGCATTCCAATAAACTAATATACGTAATTGTATTTGTATCCAGTACGCAATTATAAATTAATTTTAAGGCTGCCCAAAATGCTCTGCATAACAAGGGGCTTTCTATAAAGTAATTTATTCATGTCACTTAGCCCATGTCAGTTGAATACTGTATTTCACTATATAGAAATAAAGTTGTTTGTTGTTGTAGGTAGTCAAAATAAATTTCTCAGATAGTTCAGTGTCTTTACTGTACAGAAGGGGCCCCATTTTACAGCGCTTTGCTTTACGGCTTTTTGTTAATGCAGCGGTTTTCAATTATATCCATTCTTCATTTATTCAGACCTCCTACAATAAATATATTCACCACTCACTATAAGCAAAAAACAAAAATATTTTAAGGTAAGTAATGTATGTACTGTATATGCATTTTTTTAGGGCTAACTCTGTTGCTCACTTAATACAGTGGGCCCCCGCATAACGATCACCTCCGAATGCGACCAATTATGTAAGTGTATTTATGTAAGTGCGTTTGTACGTGTATGTTTGGGGGTCTGAAATGGACTAATCTACTTCACAATATTCCTTATGGGAACAAATTCGGTCAGTACTGGCACCTGAACATACTTCTGGAGTGAAAAAATATCGTTAACTGGGGGTCCACTGTATATGATAGTGTAAACATGTTATCAGGCTTTTATATGCATTTCAAAGTGGAAAAGGCTATATTTCTCTTTATAGTGATTTTCGCTTTACAGCAGTAGCCTGGAACCTAGCCTGGTGTATAAGTGGAGCCTGCCTGTATTAGACAAAGGAGAAGTGCTACTTACTGGCTGTACAGTAGGTCTGCTTTTCTTCTCATATACTAGTCCAGCTTGCTTCAGTGTTCTGTCTTTCACCTGTAAATGAGAGATTTGCCTAGAGTACTTGTATTTGTCTGTCTGTACAAAGGATTTTTTGAGGAAAGATTGATCAAATTTAATTAATTTGCCAAGCTTCATTAATGTCATAATTTTTGTGATAATACAACTGAGAGAAATGGACATGACTGCATTCACTTATGACCCCTTTACTGAAAACAATTCAGTCCTTGGACCTTGATGACTTCATACACATGCAATGTACCTGAAATCATCAAGGTCCAAGGGCCAAAACATTTTCCAGCGAATGCATTTATGTCCATTTCCTAAGTGAATGCATTTGTCCATTTCTCTTAAGTTGTTGGAAGTCACTCTGTATTCTTACTACATAACAAAATTATGTTTATGAAAACAGCACTATTAATATGAAGAGTTAGTAAATGTTTTGGTGATTACACAGAATTATATACTGTACTAATCTGACTATTTAAGCACACAGTGGTACTTGCTTTAGCTTTAACTTGAATTCATTAAGTTGTAATTTTTCAAATCATCTGATATATTATTTCACATTTTTTATCCCTTAATTTGCATAGAATTTCTGTAGATGCTCAAACAAACATGAGGGACATCAAAGTGGTGTTTGTATCTAGTGTGATGCCTGTGTTTTCTGTTACAATTTTCCAGGAAATGTCTTAAATCAGCATCAGAATTATAATATAGTATTCTAAAGATGTGGAATAAGATAATACTGTATGCATGAATGGCATTTACATTTCATAGATTTTGGGACCTGAAAAAAGGCACAATGTTTTGCCTATACATACTGTAATTAAGAACATAAGAACATAAGAAAGAAGGAACACAGCAACAGGCCTACTGGCCCATGCAAGGCAGGTCCAATTCTCCTACCGGCTTAAGACAATGCCCTAACCTAGTCAGGTCAGGTCACATTCACTTAAGGAAGGAGCATGACATCTGACCTAGTAGCACAAGATAGTCAGGTCCAACTCACACCCACCCACACCCACTCATGTATTTATCAAACCTATTTTTAAAACTACACAATGTCTTAGCTTCTATGATGGTACTCAGGAGTTTGTTCCACTCATCCACAACTCTATTACCAAACCAGTGCTTTCCTATATCCTTCCTGAATCTGAATTTTTCCAACTTAAAGCCACTGCTGTTAGTCCTGTCTAGGCTAGACATTTTTATCCCTGTTTTCCATTTATACATCTCAGTCATATCCCCCCTAATTCTACACCTTTCCAGAGAGTGCAGATTCAGGGTCCTCAGTCTATCCTCATAGGAAAGATTTCTGATACACGGGATCAACTTTGCCATCCTCCTTTGTATGTTTTCCAGTGCACTTACATCCATTCTGTAATATAGTAACCAGAACTGTGCAGCATAATCTAAATGAGGCCTAACCAAAGATATATAGAGTTGAAGAACAACCTGAGGACTTCTATTATTTATACTTCTTGATATGAAGCCAAGAATTCTGTTAGCTTTATTGCAAACACTTATGCACTGCTGACTTGGTTTCAGATTACTACTAATTAGTTTGCTTTTGATGTATAAGACACATGTACAACATTTAGTTATCTTTCAGCAATGAGGATACCTAATTTGTCATTATTGTATACCATCAAAAATATGATGACTGCCTTTGTTGGGTGATGACTGGGTAAATGAGGGAAAACAGTAAAGTATTAGTGGTGCAGAGTATGGAACATAATAGCAAATTTTAGAGAGCATCCCAACAGTCTTTTATACCTATGTTGATTTGTGCCAGATAAGCATCAAAGTTCAATTTGTTGTCAGTAGTTATACCTTAGAATTTCTCACCCTCTCCCTAATTTTTTAATTTAGTTTCCTTGAGGCTAATATCCAAATGGGGGACATGGTTTCTTTCTAATAATTATAACGGCTGTGGAGTCAGAGTAGGTGTTGTGAAGTTGGAGTTCGGAGGTGCCATAAATAAGGGAGTCGGAATTGAAGGTTTGATGTGCCAACTCCACAGCCCTAAATTATAAGGAATATTTTTTCAATATTAAGGGTGAGTTTAATAGACACATAATGCAGTGAAGTTTTTATTGTATGCTTTACCCATGAGTGTGTTTTATCACATACTTGAGGAGGCCCACTTGTGGGTGAAATACTGCACAGTACCAATAAAGACTTCAATGCATTAGGTTATTATTTACCATATGTCAGCATTCCTCCTTTATTTAGTATAAAAGTTAATTTATTGGTAATCATCCAGTGTGGACTTAGAGTTCATCGTTAACTGTAGTGCTAACTGACAATGAGTCTGGGCTTAATAAAATCAAGGCTGTGTAATCAGTAAAGAGTACAGGTTTCAGATGTTGGGTGGTATACAAGAAAAAGAAAAGCAGGAGAATGCTACTTTTGAGACACCTAAATTCATTGCTAAGGTACTATAAGAAGTGTCATGCTATATACTGCTGTCTGTTACAAAGGTATGATTGAAAATACATGTGTGTACAGTGGTCCCTCAATAATCATCCATAATCCGTTCCTGGAAGTGGGATTATTATCGAAATGGACGATTTACGAATCAATTTTCCCCATAAGAAATAATGTAAATTCAATTAATCTGTTCCTGACACCCAGAAGTATTAAACCAAAAAAATTGTTTACATGAAATATAGATGTAGTACATAAACAATACAGTTGCACATGATGAATTAAACATTAACAGAATAACACTTACCTTTATTGGCGATTCTTCTTTGTGTATGGAAGACTGGAGAAGGAGACAGATTGGATGATTTACTGTTTGGAAGGGGAATCCCCTTCCATCAACACCTCGGGTACCAAATGCTTTTCTGGAGTTACTTCTCTTCTCTGTTTCTTAATGCCACTAGGACCACCTTGAGTGTCACTGGAGTCCTGTCTCGCAAAAAAACTGTCCAGAGAGCTCTGTTTCTGGCGTCTCTTTAAAACTTCCCTAAAATGGGCCAAGACTCTGTCACTGTACAAGTTGCCGATATGGCTTGCAACATCCTTCTCTGGGTGATGTTTCTCCATAAATCTTTCCATCCTACCCCACATTTCAAAAATCTCCTTAATTTCTGAAGAAGGCACCTTCCTCCATCTCTCTTCCTCCTCCTCTGCAGCAAGATTCTGAGCTGCGATTCTGCGTACTGTGTATGCCAGTACGCTTCTTAAATCTCTCAAACCAGCCTTTGCTGGCCTTAAATTCACTCACATCACCACTAGTTGCAGGCAATTTCTTTACCAAATCATCATGCAGCTGCCTAGCCTTTTCACAAATAAGCGACGTCATAAGACTATCTCCTGCTAATTGTTTCTCATTTATCCACACCAATAATAACTTCTCAACATCGTCGAGTACTGGTGATCTCATTTTTGTCAGCATATTTACCCCCTTTGCAACAACAGCGTCCTTGATTTCCTTTTTCTTGGCTTTGATGGAAGATATGGTTGTACGGGATTTGTTATACATCCTGGCCAGTTTGCCCACACGTACGCCACTATCATATTGTTCAATGATGTTTTTCTTAAATTCAATCATATTTCTCACCTTCTTTACCAAAGGCTTGGCACTAGGAGCTTTCTTTGGAGCCATGGTAGCTTATTTAGCACTTAAATAACTTGCAAGCACTAAAATAAATGGAATATTATGAAATATTTCGCTGGAGCACGTGAGGGGACCGTCGCTCACTGGCAAACAATGGCACACTGGCTGGGAAGGAAAGGCTGAGGCGGCTCAGAGTGTGAGTACGAGTCCGGGACGAAGGACTATTAGCGAGTTACCGGACCATTTGCGAGCCAATATTTTGATGAAAAAACAGGACTATTTCCGAAATGGACGACTTTCAGGCTGGACGATTATTGAGGGACCACTGTATATGTGTCATCTGAGGCTGTAGCGCTTTAGCTTGTGTAGGAGAATATTGTGATCAACAGTATCCAAAGCCTTTTGCAAATCAATGAACTGTTTTAGGTATGAACCCAAATTAACAAGGAGTTAGTTTGAACTATATAATATTTAGTTAGTTTTACATGCAAATGGTAAAAACATAACCCAACAAAACCCACCTGACCTAACCTAACCTAACATAGCATAACTTCACTCTGCCATCAGTAGATAAGCATCTTTATTTACGTTCGGCCAGGTACATAACATGACTCAGTACTAAAAGCTGATTGGCCAGGTTGCGTTGCACAACCAAAATAAATGTATACTACGTATTTTCGCTACTGTTACCCAAAATAACAACTTAACAAGAAATACTTACTCTGTAGTGTACATAGGTCGTATAGGATGTCCTGTGGCTTGGTAGGCAACACTCTCGCTTTACATATTGAGTTTCCGTGGTTCGATCCCCGGCAAGAGTGGAAACATTGGGTGTATTTCCTTACACCTGTTGTCCCGTTCACCTAGCAAGCAAGTAGGTATCTGGGTGTTAGTCGACTGGTGGGGGTCGCATCCTGAGGGACAAGATTTAATGACCCCCAATGGAAATAAGACAGATGATGCACTGGCTTTCTTGAGTTATCCTGGGTGGCTAACCATCTGGGAGTTAAAAGTCCAAACAAACTCTTATCTCTCACTGAAAAATGTTAACTAATGCCCAAACTTACTCCTTGCAATGGGTGACTTGTAGTTGGTTCTGGTATCAGAGGATTCTTTTCCAAGCCCCATTGTCGAACACGTATTTTCCTGGAAGCCAAAAAACAAAAAAAAAAAAAAAATGTAAATTATGCTGATTTTTTTTGAGTCACAATTATCTTTACATGTAACATTCTTAGCAGTATCTAGTTAATTATTTTTTGCAATATGAACAGTTCATGCATGGCAATGTTTATAACATGCTTCTGGAAGTGGTCTCTCTGACGGTGGTGAGCGGGCTCATGATATGAGAAATTTTACCTGCTCTCCTCTTCCTTGGATTTACCCTGTTTACCTCCCATTTCCCAAGGTACTGTATGACCCCTATTGGTTTAGCACTCTCCCATGACTGTAATAATAATTCTGACTCATAAGGAACACTCAGCGATTGGAAAATGAGAGGCAATCTGGTTGGAAACAAGGGCATTTTTGATTACTGTATTTTTTGTGCAATTAGTTATTAGAAATAAAGAATAAATTTTAATTCCCCCAGTGAAGAGCCCTTGAAGGGCTGGGCACCAGATACTTTTTAAGCGAACTTAAATGTTTCCTCAGCTCATGTCTCTGGCATATTTCTTTCACTATTCCTAACTTATTCTCCAACACTTAATTACAGTCAAGTTATACTGTCATATGCCTAATTCGTCACATGCTTAATTCATTATATGCCTATATATTTGTATACATTTATTGTCCTTATATATATATATATTATTTTTTTATTATTATTTTTTTTTTTATTATCACACTGGCCGATTCCCACCAAGGCAGGGTGGCCCGAAAAAGAAAAACTTTCACCATCATTCACTCCATCACTGTCTTGCCAGAAGGGTGCTTTACACTACAGTTTTTAAACTGCAACATTAACACCCCTCCTTCAGAGTGCAGGCACTGTACTTCCCATCTCCAGGACTCAAGTCCGGCCTGCCGGTTTCCCTGAATCCCTTCATAAATGTTACTTTGCTCACACTCCAACAGCACGTCAAGTATTAAAAACCATTTGTCTCCATTCACTCCTATCAAACACGCTCACGCATGCCTGCTGGAAGTCCAAGCCCCTCGCACACAAAACCTCCTTTACCCCCTCCCTCCAACCCTTCCTAGGCCGACCCCTACCCCGCCTTCCTTCCACTACAGACTGATACACTCTTGAAGTTATTCTGTTTCGCTCCATTCTCTCTACATGTCCGAACCACCTCAACAACCCTTCCTCAGCCCTCTGGACAACAGTTTTGGTAATCCCGCACCTCCTCCTAACTTCCAAACTACGAATTCTCTGCATTATATTCACACCACACATTGCCCTCAGACATGACATCTCCACTGCCTCCAGCCTTCTCCTCGCTGCAACATTCATCACCCATGCTTCACACCCATATAAGAGCGTTGGTAAAACTATACTCTCATACATTCCCCTCTTTGCCTCCAAGGACAAAGTTCTCTGTCTCCACAGACTCCTAAGTGCACCACTCACTCTTTTTCCCTCATCAATTCTATGATTCACCTCATCTTTCATAGACCCATCCGCTGACACGTCCACTCCCAAATATCTGAATACGTTCACCTCCTCCATACTCTCTCCCTCCAATCTGATATTCAATCTTTCATCACCTAATCTTTTTGTATCCTCATAACCTTACTCTTTCCTGTATTCACCTTTAATTTTCTTCTTTTGCACACCCTACCAAATTCATCCACCAATCTCTGCAGCTTCTCTTCAGAATCTCCCAAGAGCACAGTGTCATCAGCAAAGAGCAGCTGTGACAACTCCCACCCTGTGTGTGATTCTTTATCTTTTAACTCCACGCCTCTTGCCAAGACCCTCGCATTTACTTCTCTTACAACCCCATCTATAAATATATTAAACAACCACGGTGACATCACACATCCTTGTCTAAGGCCTACTTTTACTGGGAAAAATTTCCCTCTTTTCTACATACTCTAACTTGAGCCTCACTATCCTCGTAAAAACTCTTCACTGCTTTCAGTAACCTACCTCCTACACCATACACTTGCAACATCTGCCACATTGCCCCCCTATCCACCCTGTCATACGCCTTTTCCAAATCCATAAATGCCACAAAGACCTCTTTAGTCTTATCTAAATACTGTTCACTTATATGTTTCACTGTAAACACCTGGTCCACACACCCCCTACCTTTCCTAAAGCCTCCTTGTTCATCTGCTATCCTATTCTCCGTCTTACTCTTAATTCTTTCAATTATAACTCTACCATACACTTTACCAGGTACACTCAACAGACTTATCCCCCTATAATTTTTGCACTCTCTTTTATCCCCTTTGCCTTTATACAAAGGAACTATGCATGCTCTCTGCCAATCCCTAGGTACCTTACCCTCTTCCATACATTTATTAAATAATTGCACCAACCACTCCAAAACTATATCCCCACCTGCTTTTAACATTTCTATCTTTATCCCATCAATCCCAGCTGCCTTACCCCCTTTCATTATATATATATATATATATATATATAATATATAATATATATATATATATATATATATATATATATATATATATATATATATATATATATAATAATATATATATATATATATATTATATATATATATATATATATAATATATATATATATATATATATATACATACTTAAGGACAATAAATGTATACAAATAAGACTGATCCAGTAGTATATAATGAACGAATATGTGTTGCACAACCCCAATAGAAATAAGTCACGTTGTCTGACTTTTTTGGGTTATCCTGGTGGGTAATTTACATATATGTTACTATGTACGATAAATGTTCTTAAGTGTACCTGTACTTAAATAAACTTATTTCACTTACTTACCAGACTACTGACATTATCCGCCCACTTGGATTGTTGTTGGGTTTGTAAGGGCCACTGATAGCTAAACTAAGTGACGTAAAATAAGGATACCTGGAGGGTGTTCCGGGGGTCAACGCCTCCGCGGCCCGGTCCATGACCAGTATTCATGGTGGATTAGGGCCTGATGAACCAGGCTGTTACTGCCGGCCACACGCCCGGCTGGTCAGGGACTGACTTAGGTGCCTGTTTAGCTCCCTGGACAGGCACCTAACACAAATAACCCGGTCAATGGTCCAAGTCGGACCGAAACGTCGTCGTAAGCTTCTCTCTTTTATGTGCGGGTTATTTGTGTATCGTTCCAGTCACGGTACTGTACCTTTTTGTTATTCAGGCACCTAAGTCAGTACCAGACTCTTGAAGACAACCAGGAGTCTACTGGTAATCCCCCTTATGTATGCTGGAAGGCAAGTAAGACACATAAGAACATAAGGAGGAACACTGCAATAGGCCTCTTGGCCCATACTAGGCAGGTCCTTCACAAATCCATCCCACTAACATAATAACTGCAAAACTAACAGAATAACTGTCCACGAACAGAATAACTGCGACTAACAGAATAACAGTTAGGCATCTTTATTCCGAAACGTTTAGCCTACACATCAGGCTTCTTCAGTCGAGTACAGAAAGTAGGCAGGAGCAGTGGAACGTAGGCCTATGTGTCTTACTTACCAACCTGTCGGTATTGTATACCATTTTGATATTCACTCTGTCAGACACTGCAACACAGTGGCACCTTGGTACAGGTGAGAATGGTTAGATCTGAGAGGGACGTAACCTCTCAGTAATTACATTCTTTCTTCTACTACTCTACACCTCTCCATCCAACAGTACTGTGTATGTATAAGTCTCTACACTGCCGCTTGATATTCACATTGTTTCAGACAATGGAACAGAACTCTTCTCCAGGCTGAGGGACTGACAACCTCAAATCTACGTCATCAAGGGTGATGGACTGATTACATTGTCTTCACATCTCTACTGCTCCTGCCTATTTTCTGTACTCGACTGAAGAAGCCTACTGTGTAGGCGGAACGTTTCGGAATAAAGATGCCTAACTGTTGCTTATGTGTCTTACTTACCAACCTGTCTGTATTGTATACCATTTTGATATTCATGCGGGGAGGCAGCTGAACAGTCTTGGGCCCCTGACACTTACTGTGTTGTCTCTTAGTATTCTGGTAGGTATAGGTTTGTCAGGAAACAGTTATTAGTTAGTTAGTTGGAAACACGACAAGTGTTTCCTGATGCGGGTCTTAGTCATATGATGACCCACAGTTGGAGCTTTCGGTCATCTGACCGAGGTCTTCGCTGGCTTACCAGTCCACTCCTTTAAAAAGTCATTTTGTCTGACTTTTTTGGGTTGTCCTAGGTTCTCTACACATATGCTGCTATGTATGATAATCTATGTAACTGTATTTGTGTATACCTGAATAAATTTACTTACTTATGACGCCCCTGCTTTTCATTTGGGAGATGTTGCACCGCCTGCCGAGTCTTTTGTTTTCGTAAGGAGTGATTTCAATGTGCAGATTTGGGACTAGTCCATTTAGGACTTTCAAAGTGTATATTATGGTGTATCTTTTTCGCCTGCATTCCAGGGAGTACATGTCAAGGGACTTTAACCGTTCCCTGCTTTATTAATACAACAGTTAATACAGCAGTTTTGTGGAGTGATTGAATAGCGACGCAGATACAGCAAGTTACTTAGATTACAATACAAATAAAATGGGACAAGATATATTACCAATATAAGAATATAAGAATGGAGGAACACTGCAGAAGGCCTACTGTCCCATGCAGGGCAGGACCTTATGTATGGGAGTTGAATGGAAATAAGTAATTTTGTCCGACTTTTTGGGGGGTTATCCTACGTAATTTACACTATGTATGACAACTGTAATTATGAGTACCTGTGCCCAAATAGACTTATTTATTTAAGAAGAACATGGACAGACTTGGATGAAAATTGGCTTTTTTTGACATAGCGTATTGTTGTCTCACTTACATTAAGGAGATAAAGTGTTTAATTTTTAATAACTCTGGATCGATTGGCAGATAAGGAACCTTTCGATGCCTAAGGCAGGAAGTTCCAGATTTTAGGGCCTTTTATAGACATTGACTTTTTACACAGGTTGAGTCAAAGATGTTTTATTGTCTTGTATTATGCCCAAAGGTGAGCGATGGAAGAAAAGGGAACATGAGTCCCTTCGTAAATAAAAACAGAAACTAGAAATTTCCAAATAGACCAGGTGGATTCTCCCTCGCCCAGCACCAGCAGAGCGGGACGCCCATACCCTCACCTGAGTACAGCAACCGGCTTCCCAACAAAACCGTTAAATAGATATCCACAGAGCGGAAAAACAAAGCTGGCTTGTATTGAGCTGATGCAAGGTGTCCTTCCTGTAACGTGCCCAGCGGGCGAAGTAAGATGAAATCAAGAGTCCCAGAGAGAAAGGGAAAAATATGTCACTGATTCTCCTCCGAGAGTGAGATGTCCACAAAACAAACTGGACAAACACCTAAAGTCGGTACCTGACCAGCCGGGCTGTGGCTCGTACGTTGGATTGCGTGCAGCCAGCAGTAACAGCCTGGTTGATCAGGCTCTGATCCACCAGGAGACCTGGTCACAGACCGGGCCGCGGGGGCGTTGACCCCCGGAACTCTCTCCAGGTAAACTCCAAGTCCAGGTAAACTCCAGACAAAACCTATTTCATGCTTTTTGGAAAGAGAACATCAAATATCCAGCTAAGCATATCGATGAATGGTTCACCCATTACAAGACACACTGAGGGCAAATTCCTAGGTCTCCACGTTGACTGTAATCTTAAATTTCATACCCACATCCAGCATATAACTAAAAAAGTTTCCAAAACAGTAGGTATCCTTTCCAAGATACGATACTACGTACCCCAAGATAAGATAAGATAAGAGTTCGTTCGGATTTTTAACCCCGGAGGGTTAGCCACCCAGGATAACCAAAGAAAGTCAGTGCGTCATCGAGGACTGTCTAACTTATTTCCATTGGGGTCCTTAATCTTGTCCCCCAGGATGCGACCCACACCCAGGTACCTATTTGCTGCTAGGTGAACAGGACAACAGGTGTAAGGAAACGTGTCGAAATGTTTCCGCCCGCCGGGAATCGAACCCGGGCCCTCCGTGTGTGAAGCGGGAGCTTTAGCCACCAGGTCACCTTTAATAACCCAGCAAAAAGCGGCACTGCGGATGATCATAAACTCCAATACCAGGCAACACACCCCACCTCTCTTCTAAAACATGAACTTACTTAATATACATAATATGCACACTTATTATTGTACCTACTACAAATACAGAACATTAAACTCTATCATCAAACCTCCGCTCAAACTTCTAGAAAGTTTCAACACAACACACAGGTATAACACGAGGCACAAAACATTTTTTGACATCCCCCGTGTCCTTCTCACACTATTGGAAAATGCAATGCATATAAAGGGCCCGAAGATCTGGAACTCTTTGTCTGAAACAGCAAGAGGTCCCCTGCCCACAAATCAGTTTAGGAACATACTCAAAAATCATCTCATCTTTAAATAACAAAGATACCCACACCATGCTAAACCCCAACCAAATTCAAAGCAACTCCCACAAATATTTTATTATCCCTTAACTAATATGCCATTATTATAAACTCTTAAATGTGTGTTTGTATCACTAATTGCACTACCTCATATTAATAATAGAGTAAATGAACTTAATTACGAACTGAAAAATGTATGATTGTATCATAAATTGTACTACCTCATAATAATAATAGAGTGAAATATTAACTATTTGTTTTCTACCAATCTTCACCTGTCTAGACTTAAGTAGTCTATAAGTAGTATTAGGTTAAGTCTGCCCCAAATGCCTCGGTGTGATAGTGACCTTCTTTGTTACAATCAAGTGGCCCCACTCCACAAAGGGGGCAGTAAAGCAACAGCAAAGAACTACAGACCAATAGCACTAACATCCCATATCATAAAAATCTTTGAAAGGGTCCTAAGAAGCAAGATCACCACCCATCTAGAAACCCATCAGTTACACAACCCAGGGCAACATGGGTTTAGAACAGGTCGCTCCTGTCTGTCTCAACTACTGGATCACTACGACAAGGTCCTAAATGCACTAGAAGACAAAAAGAATGCAGATGTAATATATACAGACTTTGCAAAAGCCTTCGACAAGTGTGACCATGGCGTAATAGCGCACAAAATGCGCGCTAAAGGAATAACAGGAAAAGTCGGTCGATGGATCTATAATTTCCTCACTAACAGAACACAGAGAGTAGTCGTCAACAGAGTAAAGTCCGAGGCAGCTACGGTGAAAAGCTCTGTCCCACAAGGCACAGTACTAGCTCCCATCTTGTTCCTCATCCTCATATCCGACATAGACAAGGATGTCAGCCACAGCACCGTGTCTTCCTTTGCAGATGACACCCGAATCTGCATGACAGTGTCTTCCATTGCAGACACTGCAAGGCTCCAGGCGGACATCAACCAAATCTTTCAGTGGGCTGCAGAAAACAATATGAAGTTCAACGATGAGAAATTTCAATTACTCAGATATGGTAAACATGAGGAAATTAAATCTTCATCAGAGTACAAAACAAATTCTGGCCACAAAATAGAGCGAAACACCAACGTCAAAGACCTAGGAGTGATTATGTCGGAGGATCTCACCTTCAAGGACCATAACATTGTATCAATCGCATCTGCTAGAAAAATGACAGGATGGATAATGAGAACCTTCAAAACTAGGGAGGCCAAGCCCATGATGACACTCTTCAGGTCACTTGTTCTATCTAGGCTGGAATATTGCTGCACTCTAACAGCACCTTTCAAGGCAGGTGAAATTGCCGACCTAGAAAATGTACAGAGAACTTTCACGGCGCGCATAACGGAGATAAAACACCTCAATTACTGGGAGCGCTTGAGGTTTCTAAACCTGTATTCCCTGGAACGCAGGAGGGAGAGATACATGATTATATACACCTGGAAAATCCTAGAGGGACTAGTACCAAACTTGCACACGAAAATCACTCACTACGAAAGCAAAAGACTTGGCAGACGATGCACCATCCCCCCAATGAAAAGCAGGGGTGTCACTAGCACGTTAAGAGACCATACAATAAGTGTCAGGGGCCCGAGACTGTTCAACTGCCTCCCAGCACACATAAGGGGGATTACCAACAGACCCCTGGCAGTCTTCAAGCTGGCACTGGACAAGCACCTAAAGACAGTTCCTGATCAGCCGGGCTGTGGCTCGTACGTTGGTTTGCGTGCAGCCAGCAGCAACAGCCTGGTTGATCAGGCGCTGATCCACCAGGAGGCCTGGTCACAGACCGGGCCGCGGGGGCGTTGACCCCCGAAACTCTCTCCAGGTAAACTCCAGGTGGCTAAAACTCCCGCTTCACACACGGAGGGCCCGGGTTCGATTCCCGGCGGGTGGAAACATTTCGACACGTTTCCTTACACCTGTTGTCCTGTTCACCTAGCAGCAAATAGGTACCTGGGTGTTAGTCGACTGGTGTGGGTCGCATCCTGTGGGACAAAATTAAGGACCCCAATGGAAATAAGTTAGACAGTCCTCGATGACGCACTGACTTTCTTGGGTTATCCTGGGTGGCTAACCCTCCGGGGTTAAAAATCCGAACGAAATCTTATCTTATCTAAATAATGATATGTAAACACACATTGTAACCTTAGCAAAGAAATAAATTATTATTATTATTATTATTATTATTATTATTGGACGAAGACCGGCGCAGTTTCACTCGGCTGTTCTTGCACCTAGTTCAGCCATCAAAACTTTGGAGCCCGGTCCCTGGACCCATTGTGTACCTCTGTAATCTGTAAACACCTTTGTAACTTGTCATGATTGTGACTAGACCTACCTGGAGTTCATTACCTTTGTAAATTGTGAGTTCATTACCTTTGTAAATTGTGAATTCATTACCTCTGTAACTTGCTCATCTATCAAAACTTTGAGGCCCAGTCCCTGGACCCAATATGTACCTCTGTAATCTTTTGACTACCGCCCACAGGATGGGTATGGGGTGCATAATAAACATATTAAACTAACTGTTCTTGTTCTTGGGGTTGTTAATGGCCACGGAAATGTATGCTTTATTGAGCCCTACTTCTTGGAGTCTGGGTTAAATGTTTCCCAAATATTTTCGAGAATCTCTTATACGACTCCAGTGCTAATCTTGGCCCACCTTATGGGCCACTAGTTGGCCCTGTCTACATGTGATGCCATCTTCAACTGCTGCTTTTCACCGCTTCTTCCAGTGGTACCAGTGCATAAGTCACTGTCCTTATGCCTCTGTATTAGATAAAGTTTGCTGTGAAGGTGATATGTCCCTCAATCTTTGCTTTACATACTAATAAAAAAAAATTTAAATGCGTGAGATAAGACATGATTTTGTTCGGATTTTTAACCCCGGAGGGTTAGCCACCCAGGATAACCCAAGTGTGGAAAATACTGTATATATTTTCCGGAAATACAGTAATTTATAGGTAAATAGATACCCTATATTGTATTTTTAAAAGAAGTATGTTATCGAAAAAAAGTAGACACTCGCCATCTTGGTTTTGAATTTGGATTACAAACGTTGGTGTAATGGGAATAACTTTTTGTGCTCTAGAGGTTAAAATTGTGTTGACACCTGTCAAATAGGAGGCGAAATTGGTGGATGTACATTCCTGCATAACTTGAGATATCAGACGACTGGACAAGACAGCTCCAGGAACCTCAGATAAGCTCTCTAGATTTGTGTATAATTCTGGCCAGTGTTTTCATAAATTTAGTTAGTGAGGTTTTTCTGAGTATGATACAACTTAATCTCCAGTCAAATTTGTGAGTGATATTAAGATATTCTCTTTCTGTTATGTAATTGTGTATATCTATAATTATTCTTTAATTTTAATATACAGTCCGCAAATTTATATATTTACCAGCATTCCTGGTGATGTATTTTTTTTTTTTTTTTTTTATTCGCCGGTATTCTCCCGGCCCGGGTCTTTTCCAAGTAGTGGTGACCCGGCCTTGGCTCCCTATCTGGGTAGTGTCTCGAGACTTAAGTCTCCCATGGGAGGAGGTACAAGTACCCCCTCATCTTTGGGACCAACTGTCCCCAGGCCTAGCCACATTCCCCGCCCTCACGGGGCTCGTAGGGAGAAGCTAGGCCTCTGGTCTGCCATCTGCCCCGCCCCAAAGGGGCTCGTGGGGATGGCAGTCTTGTGAGCTGCAGGTGGTAGCAAGCTCAGGCCTTCGTGCCAATTTTTTTTGGTGATGTATTTTTCATTTGATAATTAATAGGTCCAGAGCAACTTGTGGATATGACAGTGGTAGGTATCGAAGGGGGACATTTTTTTTTTTGTGACCTAGGTGTCCCAAATTCCTGCTTGTCTATGTAACTCTGCTAAATAATAATTATCTTTGTTATCATTTACTGTTATGTACATAATGATTGACATTCAGATAAATGCAATTTTCCACACCAAGATAGGCAGTACGTCATCGAGAGCTTATCTGTCTTATTTCCATTGGGGTCCTCAGTCTTGTCTCCCAGGATGCGACCCACACCGGTCGACTAACACCCAGGTACCTACTTACTTGCTAAGTGATCAGGAACAGTAGGTGTAAGGAAACACGCCCATTGTTTCTACACTTACAGGGGATCAAACTACAGACACTGTGTGTGAAGCGGAACACCTTGGGTGAAGGGGTAGGCCTGTGGAAGGCCTCGGTCAGATGACCAAAAGCTCCAGTGGCGGGTAATCATATAACTAAGACCAACGTCAGGAAATATTGTCGTGTTCCCTGACGAATTTTACTTAGCCTACATTTCAGGTAACCTACCTAGCCTATGTTTGACATTGATCTATCCAGGTTAAGGGACTGAACACTTTTAAAAGTTAAATGGCAAACCAGGCTGTTGGTGAGCGCTCAATGCTTTCTGGAACAAACACAGGGCCAGAAATTATGAATCGACCCCTGCAACCACAATTAGGTGAGTACAGAACGGCTCAAGGAACGTTTGTTTAATACTGAAGCCAGCCATAACCTAGCCAGCCTGGGATTCTGGGAAATCAGTAGTGACAGAGGCGGCAACAGAGGAGGTTGCTCGCGCTCCTCTCATCCCTCCATCACTTAATATCTTTCAAACCTTCGTCGTAGGACTTGAGACCCATTATCATGGCGAGGGAAGACGTGGTGTCAGGCCCAAAGTGGGTAGTGGGGGGATTTGTGTTCTTCTGGGTGCTGAACAAAGTGTTGCGAATATTCCCTGCGGGTATGAGCACCACTGGCCCCCAGGCCTGGAAATGGAAGAACACAGGGGTATCTCTCACCCATAGCCTGATTACTGGTCCCTGGTCACTCTACTGGTGAGTACATCCACACACGAGTGTTGGAACACTGAGGATATCTCTCTCATTTATTCACTATCTTTCGCTTTCTCTGTCTCACACACACAATTATCGTGAACGAGCGAAATTATTTACAGGCATTATCTGAGACCATAGCAGAGGTCTGGAACCTGTGCAGTGCATGTGGCAGATGATATGAAACTGGAACAAGCCTGGTACTCCGTGTATGAGGAATAACATCTAGCTAGTGTCCACTAGGAACCCATATTTGTGTGTTGTTTCTGACAATACTAGTGTAGATGCTAATGTAGTTACAGTAGTTGGTTGTTCCTGACACTATTGTAGGTAGTTGGTTGTTCCTGACACTATTGTAGGTAGTTGGTTGTTCCTGACACTAGTGTAAAGCTTAAAGATTAATTAAAGATTATTTCAGCATGATACAGTGTTGGTACAGAGATGGTGTGCATGCAGAAAGCTCCTTAGTATGAAGAGCATTTCGGACAGGATGGTAGTGAACGTAGTTGTTGTTCCTGACAACATTACTGCAGATAGTTGATTGTTGGTAATGCAGTGATGTGATATTCTTGCTGACAACACTGTAGTATAGATGTTGGTTTAGACAAACTTGACCTTTAACAGACGGGACTGTGTGGGAGAAAAGATCAATGGATGTCCTACACTCGTACTCTCTCATTATCACAAAAGTTTTACAAGGTTAGGTTGAGAGTTCCTACCTTTATTTACAAGCTAAGAGCTGTTACCTGTCTCAGTTCATTTGAAAGTTTTTTTTATTGTTATGGGACAAAAATAAATTATATGAAGCCATACCTGGAGGGTATTCCGGGGATCACCGCCCCCGCGGCCCAGTCCATGACCAGGCCTCACGTTGGATCAGGGCCTGATCAACCAGGTTGTCACGTTGGATCAGGGCCTGATCAACCAGGTTGTCACGTTGGATCAGGGCCTGATCAACCAGGTTGTCACGTTGGATCAGGGCCTGATCAACCAGGTTGTTACTGCTGGCCGCACGCAAACCGACGTACGAACCATCTGTGGGCCAGCGATTTCATTTGGTTAACTGGCTTTTATTTCATCAATGTCAGTATGTTGTACGAACATGTTACAGGTTCGAGTTATTCTATGAATAAATGCTCTCAGATGAAGTGATGTTCTTGAGAAGTGCTGTATAATCCTCTGGGTTTAGCGCTTCCCCCTTGATTATAATAATAATCTTGAGAAGTGTAGTTATTGTGTACTTCCCTGGCCACGAAATAGAGCCAAGTATGATACCTTAACGACATTAGCCTGTAAAGCAGGAAGGACACTCACATCCCTTCGGTATTGAAGGCTCTGCTGAATTTCTTTCTCTCGAATTTTAATTTGAGATGTAATAGAAAAAAAAAAGAAACACTGATCGCTTTTACAAACATGAAGATAACTTCGTAAATCTAAAATTTAAAAAAAGTACTGCAGACCACTGTGAAGGTGTGAGACACAAATAAACAGCGCTCTCATGTTCTTATTTTGTAGACGGATTGGCTTGTACCAGGTAAGATAACGGGAGGTTCTTATACACAGCTTCATTTTAATTCCATATTACGTGATCTGAAGTCGTTTTAATGTCTTCAGAAATTTCTTGGTACAGTCTGAGTGTCTTGTGTCTCTTATTTTGTGTTTCATCTGTTGTTTACTGCTGCACATAACATCTGACCACCTGTTACTTCCTCGGTTCAATACCCGATATTGTCTTCTTCTTTATATTATATATATATATATATATATATATATATATATATATAAAATATATATATATATATATATATATTTTATATATATTATATATGTATATATATATATATATATATATATATAATATATATTTATATATATATATATTATATATATATATATATATATATATATATATATATATATATATATATATATATATATATATATATGTATATATATATTATATGTATATATATATATATATATATTATATATATATATATATATATATATATATATATATAATATATATATATATATATATATATATCTCAAGATCGCAGTCAGCAGGATTCGAAACTACTACTGCGATGTTTCTTTGTACATATACCCGCTTGTTTCTGCGTGGTGCATTGAATATATATATATATATTATATATATATATATATATATATATATATATATATATATATATATATATATATATATATATATATATATATATATATAATATATATATATATATATTATAATAATGTGCCGAATAGGTAAAACGTACGGTTTTTTACTTAATTAAATAGCAAGGATCTTCTTGCCGAATAAGGCAAGCAAAAATTTGTGTATGCAATAATTTTGCAAAAATCATTCTGAACCTAACGAAAAAATGTATTTCATGGTGTTTGTTTTTTATTTAATTATTGTAAACCTATCTAAAATTTATTTAGGCGGATTAGGCTAAATTAAATTGCGCTTGTTATATTAAGGTAAGGTAAGTTTTCTTAGGTTCGTTTGGCACAAAATTATTAATTTTTACATTAACATAAATGAAAAAATATATATCTTTAAACGTATAAGAGAAGATTTTAGAAATGACTTAATTTTAAATGAGTTCTTGCTAATTGAACAATTTTACCTATTTGACACGACGTATATACCTGGAGTATACCTGGAGGGGTTTTCGAGGGTCAACGCCCCCGCGGCCCGGTCTGTGACCAGGCCTCATGGTGGATCAGGGCCTGATGAACCAGGCTGTTACTGTTGTCCGCACGCAACCTTACGTACGAATCACAGCCCGGCTGGTCAGTTACTGACTTTAGGTGCCTGTACAGTGCCTTCTTGAAGACAGCCAGGGCTCAATTGGTAATCCCCCATATGTATGCTGGGAGGGAGTTGAACAGTCTTGGGCCCCTGACATTTATTGTGTTGTTTCTTATCGTGCTAGTGGACACGCTTTTCATTGGGGGATGTTGCATCATCTGCAGAGTCTTTTGCTTTCATAAGGAGTGATTTTCGTGTGCAAGTTTGGTATTAATCCCTCTAGGATTTTCCAAGGGTATATAATCATGTATCTCTCCCGCCTGCGTCCTAGGGAGTACAGGTTTAGGAACTTTAAGCGTTCCCAGTAATTGAGGTGTTTTATCGCAGTTATGTGTATCGTGAAGGTTCTCTGTACATTTTAAAGGTCAGCAATTTCACCTGCCTTGAAAGGTGCTGTTAGTGTGCAGCAATATTCCAGCCAAGATAGAACAAGCGACCTGAAGAGTGTCATCATGGGCTTGGTATCCCTAGTTTTGAAGGTTCTTATTATCTATCCTGTCATTTTTCTAGCAGATGCGATTGCTACAATGTTGTGGTCTTTGAAGATGAGATCCTCTGACATTATCACTGTCATCTCTTTTACATTAATTTTTCGCTCTATTGTGTAGTGGGAATTTGTTTTATACTCTGATACAGTTTTAATTTCCTCAAGTTTTCCATATAGGGGTAAATGAAATTTTTCATCACTGAACTTCATATTGTTTTCTGCGACCCATTTAAAGATTTGGTTGATGTCTGCCTAGTCATGCATTGTCTTCAATGGAGGACACTGTCATGCAAATTCAGGTGTCACCTGCAAAGGAAGACACGGTGCTGTGGCTTACATCCCTGTTTATGTCAGATATGAGGATGAGGAACAGGGTGGGAACGACTACTGTGCCTTGTCGAACCGAGCTTTTCACCGTAGCTGCCTCAGACTTTATTGTTTACTACTCTTTGTGTTCTATTTGTCATGGAAATTATAGATCCATCTACCAACTTTTCCAGCTATTTCTTTATCACGCATTTTGTGTGCTATTACACCATGGTCACACTTGTCAAAGGCTTTTGCAAAATCTGTGTATACTACATCTGCATTTTGTTTGTCTTATAGAGCATCCAGGACCTTACCATAGTGGTCCAGTAGTTCGGACAGACAAGAGCGACCTGCTCTAAACCTGGGTTGTGTAACTGATGGTTATCTAGATGGGTGGTGATCTTGCTACTTAGAACCCTTTCAAAGATTGTTTTTGATATGGGATGTTAGTGCTATCGGTCTGTAGTTCTTTGCTATTGCTTTACTGCCCCCTTTGTAGAGTGGGGCTATGTCTGTTGTTGTTAGAAGCTGTGGGACGACCCCTGTGTCCATGCTCCCTCTCCATAGGATGTTAAGAGCACATGATGCAACACCATTGTTAACGAGGAGCTGATCAAAATATCGACTTGGATGACAGCCAATAAACTTACGCTTAACACTGACAAAACCTACTATATTATGTTTGGTAGCAGAGCAGGAGATGCACAAATTAACATTAAGATCGACAACACTCTAATTACCAGACATAATGAGGGCAAATTCCTAGGCCTTTACCTTGACAACAACCTGAATTTCAGCACCCATATCCAACACATAACCAAAAAAGTATCCAAAACAGTTGGGATCCTCTCCAAGATACGATACTACGTGCCGCAAAATGCCCTTCTCACACTATCCCACTACTTTTTTATCCATACCTCACCTATGCTATTTGGCTTGGGGATCAACTGCAGCAACACCCCTAAACCCAAAATAACCCAACAAAAAGCTGCAGTAAGAATAATCATTTAAATCCCATCCCTGGCAACACCCCCCCCACTCTTCATAGATCTAAACTTACTCCCTTTTCCCAGTACATCCACACTTACTACTGTGCAATCTACATTACAGGACTTAAACCCCAAATATCAACCTTGACCTAAAACGCTTTCTTGATATTTGGGTGACGGGAACCCACAGGCATAATACCAGACACAAACATCTCTACGACATTCCCCATGTCCGACTAAACCTTTACAAAAATTCAATGTATGTCAAAGGCCCAAAAATCTGGAAAAACCCTACCTGAGAACTCTAGAAACTGCAGACACATTCATCACCTTAAAAAACTACCATTAGAAAACATCTTATCTCCCTGATAAACCCCATCAACTAAACTACACGAAAACCCCT